TGGGGCTGTGGCAGAGAGATGCTCCTGTCTTCTCCTCCTGCATCCTCCTTCCCCCTGGTCCCCACGGAGCCTGGTGACCTTGTGGCTCGGCCACCGATCGATCAGTCCCCGCTCCCCACCCTCCTCCTGGTCGATGGATGGACGGGTCCATCTCCGATGGATGGATCCATCGAGCCCTCTCTGAACCCAGCACTTTGGTCTCTGCCTCGATGGGCTTTTCTGTCCCTCAAACCCCCCCTGCCTTGGGCAACACACGCTCTCCTGGACGAAACGACCTCCCAGACCCCAGATCTCATTAACCTTCTGCTTCTCTCCCTCTCCAGCCAGTCCTCTTGTGGCATCTGTTCCAGTGTAATGCAATCCAGAAGCAAAGTAGATAAATAAGTCAAAAAATCACAGTATGCTCCTCAAGGGCTGGAGATGGAGAAATGACATATTCTCATTTTCTTGTTTCTTTTACTTTATCTTCTGCTTTCAGAGTAACGTAAATCACGTTTATGTTGGATTTTTGACTTTTCTTTTTCCATTGCTGTGAAGACTGGACTTTCTTCTAAGGGAGCACTGGGGACAGAATTCTGAGTGCCTGGTGCTGGTTTGGGATTTCTTCCCTCCAGCCCCACGCTGGGGAGGGGGAAGCTCTATCTCTCTCTCTCTCTCTCTCTCCTGGCTGATTTTTGCTCCTGGTTGTTCTGTTCCCCTCCCGATGGCTCTGCAGAGGCTCTGATTTACTGTTTCCAGCATTCCTCTGCTCCGAGAGATAAAAATGCCAGGGAGTCTAAACACATGCAGTATTTCAATCCAAGAGGACAACCTGTTCCACATCTCCATAGGAGCTTTTATTTATTTCTGTCATATAACGCTGCCGTTACCTGTCTCTTCTTGAAGATTAAGGATTAAAAGGAAGAAGTATCCTTTAGTCTCGCTCTTGGGTGACTCTGCCTGAAACTCAATTGCGTATTTCCTGCAGTTTTTGGAATATTATTCTTTTTCTTTCAATTTTTGGACAATACATTTTAAGTTATTTACAGCTCCCTACGAAAGAATCTGAATGTCTTATTTTCAAGTTCATCTGTTTTTTGCAGTACAAAGAAAGGCTGGTTGCTTACATTTTTCTTACCACAAAAAAAAAATATTAAAAATAATCCCCGTACTGCTTGGACAAATTACCTCTCCTTCCAGCCAGGCTACAACTTTTGAGACTAATCTATCTTGGAGCTGTTCGTGGATTTTTATTTATGTTATTAGAAATAAGCAATTTGCTGCAATGTGTTTGCACTCTGTGGGCTATATCTGTGATGAAAGTCCTTGGGCTGGTGGCAAACATCTAGTAAATCTCCTCTGGTTTTGAGTCCCGAGTTCAGTACCTGAGATGCTGACTCTGGGTTTGCAGCATTTGCCTTGAAATTAAACACAATAAATTCCCAGTGGGGAAAAAAAAATTTCTCTATGAAATTCTTTGGAAGGAATTTTTAGTGAGATTCAGAAATCACGTTATCACACGGGGATGAGAAAATGCAACAGTGTGTGCAAAGACGGTGTAATCAAAGGTAATTAATGACTCTCTGGCTGGAGGTGGGGTGAGTCTGACAGTGGGGGTGTCCATCATAAAGAACCGGGTGACTGAAGGTCTCAGCTGGCAGGAAAGTCCAGGTTACATGGTGGGATGGCACTGGGATCCCACCCGAGACCGGGCTGGGTGGTGGGTGGGTTGTAGCTCACCCCCCCCCGCCCAGCAGCACACAGCTCCCACCACCCCTTCCCCTCCTAAGTAAATCTCCTCTGGTTTTGAGTCCCGAGTTCAGTACCTGAGATGCTGACTCTGGGTTTGCAGCATTTGCCTTGAAATTAAACACAATAAATTCCCAGTGGGGAAAAAAAAATTTCTCTATGAAATTCTTTGGAAGGAATTTTCAGTGAGATTCAGAAATCACATTATCACACGGGGATGAGAAAATGCAATGGTGTGTGCAAGGACGGTGTAATCAAAGGTAATTAATGAATCTCTGGCTGGAGGTGGGGTGAGTCTGACAGTGGGGGTGTCCATCATAAAGAACCGGGTGACTGAAGGTCTCAGCTGGCAGGAAAGTCCAGGCTACGTGGTGGGATGGCACTGGGATCCCACCCGAGACCGGGCTGGGTGGTGGGTGGGTTGTAGCTCACCCCCCCCCGCCCAGCAGCACACAGCTCCCACCACCCCTTCCCCTCCTACTGCATTAGCTGTTTATATAGAAAAATATGTTATCTCAAGCATGTATATGCTTTCTGAAGAATATATATTCAGCAAATACGTGCTGAAAATAAAAGGACATAAAGTTACACCAAACTCCTCATGCGCACGCAATGAGTCAGGGAGTTACAGGGGTTTTTTTATTCTTGTTTAAAATTCCTGGCACTGAGCATTTTGATACGGCTTTTGGTATTACTTCTGTGTTTATGTAGAAGCAGAAGGTGTAGCTGAGTGTGGCACCTTCAGACCATGGACCATGTTGGGGTCCTTCAGACCCACCAATGGACCTTCAGGGTGTGTGTGCCTGGGCAGCTGCTCAGTCTTTATTGCTGTACCAGAGGATGCTTGTTTGAGCTGTCTGTGGGGTGTGTGTGTGTTGGAGCTGCTGTAGTTCCTTAAGGCAGTGGTGTCAGAACACCTAAAAAACCCTAAAACCACCTAAAAACCTCAGGCTGGTTGTGTTATCAACTATATCTCACATTTTTCCCCCATGGGGCTGGTGGGAACCGAGCGGGCTCGAGTGTGTGTAAATTTGGCTGCAGCATCAACACGTGGCCAGGGAGGAAAAAAAAAAACCCCAGTTATGTCCTTTCTCTGAACTTAGAAAGAGAGTATTAGGTCTCACTGTCAACTCTGAAAGGCAAGTTACAGCTTCTTTCCATAATACCCATTCACAGGCAGCTCGGAGCTCTTACGTCTTTTCTTTGACACTCAAATTAAATGACTGCACTTATTTTTAAAGACCTAAAACCAAAAGAGGGAATAATCTAGTAGAATAGTGCTTTGCTCAAAGTTATCTGTACTTTAAAAGCCACGTTATAATGAAATAATTGATAGTTTTACACTAAACGTGATGCTCTCGGAACTGAGCTGCGGCTCCCGGTACCTCGGTGCCTTCAGCGACAGACACAGGTGAATTAGGGCTGGTATCAAAGCAGGCAGTTATTATCCTCTCTATCTTCTGTGTTCTTATGCACTGACCTGGGATAAGCTCGGAATTTTCTTTATTTTACAGGTGACAGACAGCTTTGTGCCCCCTTAGAGATATTTTAGGGGTGGTGTAAAGGAGGGGAGGTTTAAGGGACAGGTTAAACCCATCCTCCAAGGAGCAGGTGGTTGTGTTTGGTTGTGATACAGATATCTAGGATAAATTCTAAAAGTCTGCTTCTTTAAAGAAAAAAATAAATAACCTTGGGAATAAAAGTCTCTATAATTTTCATTTTACATAAATGTCTCTGTTCTGGATTTGACTCCCGGAGATCGTAAATGCCCACAGATTGAATGTGGGTGGTCAGCAGTTCAGAAAATTGGGCCATCCATCTAAATTTGTCTCTCTCTTAAATCTATCCTATTCACGTCAGCATCGTTCAAAGCAGTACAATAGGGATTCAATAACTTAAAGACAGCCTCTATTATCATACTATAGAATCCATTTTCCTGACGGCGCCGTCACCGCGTAGGGACGGCTCCAGCTGCTCGGCCCCCGGAGCTGGGGGGGTTATGGGTGAGATGCTCCAGGGTTTGTGACTTGCAGAAGCCCAGGTGAGACACCAGAAAATTCCTCTCAGCTTCCCCGAGATCTACCTTATGAGCTTATATGGGAACTTCTGGAAGCAACCGGCTTAAATTTTCATCCGTATCCCAGATTCTGCCATTTGTGGGTTTCAATTACAGTTCTCAAAAAGCAATATTTAAAGTAACATCTTTTTTACCGTAGCTTCAGGCCGAGTGCTGGAGCGGCCCCCAGCCAGGATGGAGCTGGGAAATGGAGATGGGCTCTTTTCCAGATTGTACATTATCAGATGAATAATTAACTGTGGACTAATTGCAAATCCTAATTAGTCTCCTACAACTGCACTGAACACAGTATTGCTTCAGCGCAACGTGGAAAGAACTTGACCTTCAGGCTTTAATGCTGCTGCTGGTATCAGCAGGGAAGAGCTTGACTTTCACAACCCGACTTACCTTTGTGACACTACGAGTCAAAAACCTCCAAAAATGTTTGTTCTACAATTAAAAAGGTAGAGAAATGGCAGTGTAGGTGCCTGGCCCTTTTCCCGCTGTGCATTGCTGGCTGGAAGCTTGTCGGTGCTGTTCTTCCTATAGGTGGTGGGGAAAAAAATGAAGAAAAGTTACCTGGAATGGTGGTTTTGACCTATTTTATAGACTTGATGAGGAATTTGCAGGTGACTTTGCTTTGTATCGTGGCCTGAACCGTGAGTGCACAGAGGTTTGGTGTCTGGAGAGCGGTGCTTTCTGTGGAACCGTGAAGCCCCAGGTGACAGTGAAGATGCTCCTGGGTTTTCTGGCTTGTTCTTTGCTGTTAACTGCTTGGTAGCACAGGTTGGCAGCTCCACGTCTCCTGGAGGGCTTTCAGAAGGGCACGTGGAGCCTTGGTTGCTCTTTGAGCAGCTTGGTGATAGTTCCTGTGCCAGAGAGGAGAGGGAAGGCTCTCCCTTCTCCAGGAAATCTCCTTCCCTGGTGGACCTGGTGTAGGGAAAGTGAGGTGGCTGTGTTTGCTTCCATGGGGGGTGCTGAGAATACAACAACCAATGGGAGGATAAATGTTAGAAGGAGCACTTATTGACAGCTGGAGCAATGCATAACCTGATATTAATGACCAGCACATGATGTTAAAACAGACTTAAATAACGTGAATAACCTGAAAACCCGGACACTGACATCGCGGCGTGAAAAGTTAGTGGTGTTTTGTTGGTAAAAAACACTGAGCAGTGAACAATTCCTGTCTGAATCTGGTTTTCTTCCTCTCTAGGTGACGCTGAGCAGGAGCTGGGACCCCCTCCATCCGTCGATGAGGCAGCAAATACACTCATGACTCGCCTGGGCTTCCTCCTGGGAGAGAAAGTCACGGAGGTACAGCCAGGGCCCCAGTACAGCATGGAGGTGCAGGACGAGAACCAGGTACGAGCCCCCCAAAACCCTTCCCCAGAAGGCAAGAGAGGGGTTATTTTCTAATTAAACGGCAGCTGGGTGTCTCATAATGGTGAAATAATTGCCGTGAGGTAAAAGGTTGTATCTCCTCGTTAAGCGGTGAATCATCGCTCCAGCGCAGCGGTATGTGTTTGGGGGATCAGCTGCTGCCGTGTGAAACAGCTTCTGTTGTTTTTCTGTTTCTGCCAAGGCTGGGGGAGTGGGCAGCGTTTCTAATCAGATTATAGTGACCAAAATAATCTCTGCTTCCACGGCATCTTCTGTGGAATATTTCAGAAGGGCTCTAGCGATGTTACATAAAGGCTCCCGGTTTCTCCAGGAGCAGAGGTACCTCGGAACAGCCTGATTTTTACAGATAGTCACGGTTTTCGCTCCTGTTTGCTGAACAAGGTGATTTCATGCTTGAGAAGGGATAGAGAAAGCAAATTGTAAAATCTTCCTCGTGCTGGAGTTCGTTACATCCCCTCTGGCTGGCTGAAATTCCTTGGAGATTTTCAAGCCCCGCCTGGATGCTCCTGAGTAACATGCTCTAGCTCTGGGCAATCCTGCTTCAGCAGGGGAGTTGGACTAGATGATCTTTATGGTCCCTTCCAACTCTAAAATTCAGTGAAATTCAGTGAAATAGCGAAAACCTCAGGGCTACAACGTGGATTTTGTGGAAACTGCCTGAGTTTCTTCCTCCTCCTCAAGCCTGGACAATGCACCCACTCCCAGCCATGGTGGGGAGAGGAGAATGAAACCAGGAGAGTTTTTTCTGGTTTTTTTCGTGACAGATGGGTAGTCCAATGTTTAGCAGAAGAGCATGGAAGTCAGAGCCCGCTTCTAATTCTCCTTTCACCAGTCATTGTGTGACTCTGAAGTCACTCAGCCATTAGGGGTTGGTCAGAGGACCTGACTTAAGGTCCTGAATTCCTTAAAAAAAGTGTCAATGAGAAGTGTCAGCCAAGTAGAGTCCTCAGCACAGGAAAGACATGGAGCTGTTGGAGCAGGGCTGGAGGAGGCCGCGGAGATGCTGGAAGGGCTGGAGCCCCTCTGCTGGGAGGGGGGGCTGAGAGAGTTGGGGGGGTTCAGCCTGGAGAAGAGAAGGCTCCAGGGAGACCTTGGAGCCCCTTCCAGTCCCTCAAGGGGCTCCAGGAGAGATGGGGAGGGACTCTGGATCAGGGAGGGGAGCCCTAGGAGGAGGGGGAAGGGTTTGACACTGAAAGAGGGGAGATGGAGCTGAGCTGTGGGGAAGAACTTGTTTGGTGTGAGGGTGGGGAGAGCCTGGCCCAGGTTGGCCAGAGAAGCTGTGGCTGCCCCATCCCTGGAGGGGTTCAAGGGCAGGTTGGAGGGGGCTTGGAGCAACCTGGTGTGGTGGGAGGTGTCCCTGCCCAGGGCAAGAGGCTTTAAAGGTCTCTTTCAACCCAAACTGTTCGATGATTCTATGAAGGTGGCTTCTGTACATTCCAACTGAACGCCCATCATGCCCAGGTGGCACGTGTGGATCTCTCTCCCAGCCGGTGCCACTTGAAGGAAACTCAGAGGCATGTTGTTCCATCGAGCCCAGGCTGCTCCTGGCCTGAGCAGGGAGTCTCTTGGTGAGCGGGGTGGAGGGCACGTCCAGGGGTCTCTCTGAACCAAAAGATTTTTGGTCTTCTTCATGGGCTAAAGTATGCTTGAGAGCCAAGAAATGGGGTTTGTAAAGTTTTTGCCTTTAACACATTCATTAAGCTTTTAATGCTTTCATTCAATTTCTTATGCAAGTTGTGGTGGACTGGAAATGTACTTTACTATACATTGTGCTAGAAAATGTACTTTTAACAGGCACCTATTTGAACTGAATACTTCAAAGCCAAGCAGAGCTTTCTACTATAAATGGTTCCTTTTGTTGTTGCCTTTTGACAAAAATTAAAATCCCATCTTTTCTCTAAAGCAAAAGATGTCTTTGGAGAATAAATAAAAGAAAAATCTAAAGGGAAACAGCAGAGAGTTGTCCTCTAAAATAGATTGATATCTTGGGCTGTGTGCTAATTTTTGCATGAAAAAGTTTTGCAGGCCCTTTGAATGCAATTCATGTGCTGGTGAAGATAAAGAGAGGCCAGTTCCTCAATTACCAAGTTAATTTTTTGCTTTCTTTGTGAGCGTCTCCTGCTGCCGGCGCTTCCCTGGAATCGCCGAACGCTCGAGGTTGGATGTGACCTCTGGAGGTCATCTCATCCAGCTGCTTGCTGGGAGCAGGGCTAGCTTCAGGGTTGGACCACGTGGTCCAGGCAAGTTATGAAGATCTCCACGGGTGGAGAATGAATGGGCTCTCTGGGCTGCCCCCAGGGCTAGCTTCAGGGTTGGACCACGTGGTTCAGGGCTTGTCCAGGCGAGTTTTGAAGATCTCCATGGGTGGAGAATGAATGGGCTTTCTGGGCTGCCCGTTCCAGGGCTTGATGACTCCAATTGTGAGGGACTTCTTTCTTCTACCTAATAGAAAATTTCCTTGCCACAGTCTGTGACTGTAGTGTCCTGTCCCTTCCCTTTGCTCTCCTGAGAAGAGTGTGGTTGTGCTTTCCCTCCAGGCCCTCCTCAGACAGTGGAAGGCTAAAGGTGTCCATTACTCTTCTCCAGCCTCCATGAACCCTCTCCACCAACCTCTCCTCCTACATCATCGCCCAGGGAGGTGGTTGAGTCCCCATCCCTGGCTGTGTTTAAGGGCCGTTTAGATGTGGTACTGAGGGACATGGTGTAGGGGAGGACTTTGTAGAGTAGGGGAGATGGTTGGACTCGATGATCCCAAGGGTCTCTTCCAGCCTAGACCATTCTATGATTCTATGATCATAAGCTCCAGCCATCTACCAGCCTTGGTGGCCCTTCTTTTGCTCTCTCAGGACAGGAGCCACGCACAAATCCTGCGCAAGGTAAAGCTGCTTCTGAATTGCAGCAAATCTTCTGAAAACCTCTCCAAGCCTCCTTCCCAAATTGAATTTCTTCAGCTTCCCTACCTAAAGTAGTGTTGAAAATCATGCGGTGAAACGTTTATGGGATTTGCAAAGATTAATTCTTCCATTAATCATTGATTAATTAAAATCTGATTGAGACTGTGACTACTAGCTTGCACTTGAATTTAAAAATGGGAACAATTTTCTAGGTTTTAATGCCTTAATTTACATGGCCTGGGCAAAGAAAACCTTCTTTGTATCAAAAGCTGGGACTCGGCTGCTGCTTGTTATTCTGCCCATGCTTTGCCTTCTCAAGCAAGAAAATAATTATTTGCAATCTCTCCAATGCTGGAGCTAAAGCAGAGATAAGGAATAGAGGTGTTTTCTCTAAAACTGCCCCAATCTGCCAATCGGCACATCGCCTTTTCGTTCAATTGCCTTATTTTGAATATGTCAAAGGATATATTCTCTAATCCAGATTGCTACGAAATGGCGTGGTTTATGTGCTGTCACTTTCTTAATCATGCTTCCCTTAATGAGAGATCACAAACGCTGAAGAATAAATCCTTTTTCTCCGATTTTTTGGGAAACTATTTTTTTTAAGCGCACCGGCTGCCGGAGCAGCACAAAGGACAATGAGGCTGTGACAGAACAGTTTAATTTTTCAAAGCTTAGTGAAAATGTGACAGATGAAACAGCAGCAATAATAATACAGAATGTTCTGTCAATGGAAATTTATATTTAAAACTCGCAGAGAGGAACATTTTTCTCTATCAATACAAAAATAAAACACGTCAATCAATGCCAAGTGATACACCGTGTTATTTAGTAATTTCCAGTTGCAAGTAGCTTCTTCTTAAAGAGCTGCGGTGATAACACTGCAAATAAAAGAACTTATAAAAATATCACTTTTGGCATTTCGTGAGACAATGGTGTTATCACCTGGAGGGAAGATGACTGTATCGTTCTTGCTCTGAATTTTAGTTTGCTTTAAAGTGCAATTTTTCTGTGCTTTAAGGTTAGTGGGGGTTATTCTGGTAGTACTGAGCTCAGTTTCGGCAGGGATTTGGTTAAAGTGACAATTGAAACAAGGACATAGAAAGACCTCACCATAAAGAATTTATAGTAGTAATAGTGCTGCACATCCTGAAAGATCCCAAATGTGAGCTGGTGACATTTTTAGATGCTGTAGGATGAGGTTGGAAGGCACCTCTGGAGACCATCTAATCCACCCCGCCTGCTCAAAGCAGGGTCAGCTCAGGACCATCTCCAGTTGGGTTTTGGGTATCTCTCTATCTCTACGGCAGATGCTCCAGTCCCTCAGCCATCTCTGTGGTCCTCTGCTGGGCTCGCTCCAGTATCCCCATCTGCCTCCTGGACTGGAGGGCCCAGACCTGGGCACAGAGCTCCAGGAGTGGTCCCACCAGTGCCGAGCAGAGGAGGAGCATCACTTCATTCCCACACCAACATCATCCCTCTTCCCAACGCAGCCCAGGACGCCGTTGACCTTCCTTGTCCAACCCTCAGGAATTACATTACCTTGATGCAGTTGGTTGGACTCTCAGTGGGTTAAAGAAAAGGAATATTGGAAAAAGCCTAACTTAATAGCTCAGGTGTGCTAATGGAGCCTAATCAGCTGTGATAAATCAGAAGAGGCAGCGAAAACATCTGCTTGATACATAGCAGCAATGCCAAAACAGCCCCATATTGGGTTATATTAAGAATAATAATAAACCCCAGCGATTTTACGGGGGAAAAAATAAAGGAATATTTTCACTGAACATTGACACACAAGTAGTTTTTAATTTGGCCACTGGAGTAAATGAGTTAGAAATCATTTTGCAAAATTAAAAACAGATTTAGAAAAAAATCAGTGCGGTGTTTAAGACACCTGGAAGGATTGCAGTGTGAGGAGGTGAAAAAGGTTCCTTGAGAGAGAAGGCGCGTGGCAGGTGAGGTGACAAATGTGTGAAACCAGAACTGTACGGGGAGCCAGGATTCATGGAGCAGTCAGCTTGCCTGCCGTTCCTAGAAGGCTACTGGGGGAAGGAGTAGATGTATTTGTAAGTACCTAGAACATAAAAGAATGGAAAAGAAAAATAACCAGGATCCACAAGTGGCACCACAAATTGGGTGGGGAGAGGAAAGCGTTGGTTGGCAGAGGCACAGAATTTACCTCCGTGTCGTAATTTTGCTTTGGGTTTTTTTAACGTTCAGTTGAATGTTAACAATATTATCTACATTCACAGTGAAGTATGGGATCAGGCTTTCAGTAAACGCCACTTTATATTTTCTGTGTTTTCTATTGAACGTGGAAGCTGGGATCTGTTCTCTGCAAGGAATGAAGTAGCCAAGAGGCCCCGTGTCTCTGTGTTTCCCCCAGATCATAGAATCAGAGAATGGGTTGAGTTGGAAGGGACCTTAAAGATCATGGAGTTCCACCCCCCTGCCCTGGGCAGGGACACCTCCCACCAGATCAGGTTGCTCAAAGCCCCATCCAGCCTGGCCTTGTACCCCTCCAGGGGATCACAGAATCTTCTTGGTTGGAAGGGACCTTTGAGATCATCAAGTCCAACCACAAAAAAAAAAACCAAAAAAAACCAAAAAAAAAAAGCCCAACACCACAGAGAAAACCAACAATCTCAGGCACTAGAGCATGCCCTGAAGTGCCACGTCTACATGTTCCTTAAATCTCTTCAGGGATGGTGACTCCACCACCTCCCTGGGCAGGCCGTTCCAGTGCCTGTAAAGTAATTCTTCCCCATATCTAATCTAAACCTCTCCTGCCCCAACTTCAGACCATTTCCTCTGCTCCTGTCATTATTCCTTTGGGAGAAGAGGCCAACCCCCACCTCTCTACACCCTCCTTTCAGGGAGTTGTAGGGCACAATGAGGTCTCCCCTCAGCCTCCTCTTCTCCAAACTCAACATGCCCAGTTCCCTCAGCCTCTCCTCGTGTGACTTAGAATCATAGAATGGTTTGGGTTGGAAGGGACCTTAAAGATTATCTGTTTTCAACCCATCTTGTTCCACCTGGGCAGGGACACCTCCCACCAGCCCAGGTTGTTCCAAGCCTCCTCCAACCTGGCCTTGAACCCCTCCAGGGATGGGGCAGCCACAGCTTCTCTGGGCAATCTGTTCCTAGACTCGTTCCCTCATGGGGTGATGCGGGGTGGCGCAGCAACACTTGCACTTTGACTGTAAAGCCCTTTTTTCACTCCCCCATCCAAAGCCAATCCTCCAGCGTGACCTGCAGAAAGACTTTCCCCCCCCTTACGTTGAGTGTGTGTGTGTTGAGTGACGTGTTGCCCCTTCCCCTTTGGCAGAGCTCGGCGGTGACGCAGCGCATCAGCCCCTGCTCCACGCTGACCAGCAGCACGGCCTCGCCGCCCGCCAGCAGCCCCTGCTCCACGCTCCCCCCCGTCACCGCCACTGGCACCCCCAAGGACTGCACCTACGGGCCCGTCACCAGCCCCACCTCCACGCTGGAGAGCAGGGACAGCGGCATCATCGGTGAGTGGGTCACCCTTCTCCTTCTCGCCCTCCTCCAGAAGCCCACTGGGCACGGACCGCCTTGGTTTGACAAGCTTGATGCTCGATCCGGGGTGCGGGGTTAGTTTTGTGGAAGGGAAGTACTGAAGTTGCCCATTTTAAAGCTGTTTCCAGATGATTATGCTGAAAGTACAGCGTGAGGGGGATGAAGTTGCAGTGTTGGGTCAACAAGAGTGTCCTCCTCCAGAAGCCAAGTGGGCACGGACCGCCTTGGTTTGACAAGCTTGATGCTCGATCCGGGGTGCGGGGTTAGTTTTGTGGAAGGGAAGTACTGAAGTTGCCCATTTTAAAGCTGTTTCCAGATGATTATGCTGAAAGTACAGCGTGAGGGGGATGAAGTTGCAGTGTTGGGTCAACAAGAGTGTCCTCCTCCAGAAGCCAAGTGGGCACAGACCGCCTTGGTTTGACGAGCTTTGTGTTTGTGATTCACGCGCGTTTGCTAATTAATTGGGCACGGACCGCCTTGGTTTGACAAGCTTTGTGTTTGTGATCCATGCGGGTTTGCTAATTAACGGGGTGGTTTTGCATTATTCAAGTTAATATTGCAATGATAGAGGTGAAACGATACCCCTCCATCTTCCCTTCATCACAGGTAAAACTATGTAGAGTTGGTGAAAATTGGGATGGCTGAGGTTGATGAGTAAATTGTTTGATTCAAACTTTTGGAACTTGTTTGTATGGAGAAAGAGGAAGAATCTTCTACCTTTGCATCCCATCTTCACCTTTTGTGCTTCTTGCAGTCTTTCTTCCTGACACATTTTTGCCTCCTTTAATTCTAGTGAGGTTGTTGACTTTTCTTCTACCAAGTGTTTCTGTTGTCCTGCATCTTCTCCTTCAGCTGCTCTCCGTGCCTGTTTATGACTGTGGGGATGCTCATTTAGAGAGACATGAACTTTGTGGTCCAGTAAGGAAGATGGGATGGTCTCGGTGCCAGGCCATGGCTGTATTTGGGGTGCCATCCCTCCTGCTACCTCAGATAATTTCAGAGACATCTATATTTTCAGCATTTTCCTTCCCTTAATGCCATTTGCTCCATAGCTGCTGTTCTTTATGTCAGAGGAAAGAGAATAGATGATGGCATCACCTTTGGAGTTCTATTGCAGTTGGTCCATATTATTATAAATATAAAAGACTGATTACTATTTGTGCCCTGTGACTGTCACTGCTACCTTATTGGTGACTCTGTGCCTCCAAAGTGAGTGCTGCTCTTGAGCTCAGCCTTGGGCAGGAGCCAGATTAAACCAACACACATTTCAGTGAATTTCTGCAGCAGGTTTTTCATTCCAGCAGTCTGCAGGTTGCAAATGTAAAGGGTCTTGAGAAAATGCCCTACACAGATTAATTCCTGCTCAACAACCATGAAGGTACAACGGGAGAAAAGTGCTGTCTGGGTAACATCAGGCAGGATGGTCCTTGCTTGCTCCTTGTTTTATGTTGAGTATTTCTCCAGCTGAGATGATTTTTACTTTGCCAACAGTTTATGTAGTGCTTAAAAAAAAAGGAGGGGAAAAAAAACCAAAAAGAAAGGAAGGTTGATAATTTAGGGAGGTTAGTTTGTACTGGTGATTAATATTTTGCTTGGCAGATGAGGAAATCTGGGCTTCGCTCGGCTCCTGTCTGCCACAGCAACCTTTGTAGCACTTCTGCCTGCATGAGCTTAAAAATGCAAATATGTAAGCTATTCTGAGCTGCATAGCAAAGTAGGTTAATGAATTCTGGGAGAAGTCATTGTGGTATCACACACCCTTCGTCCTCTGCTCACCATGTCCCCCGCTCAGAGCTTCGCCCCGTCCCACGGCAGCCCCTGGGAGCCTGCTTGGGCTGGAGGATCCCGGTGAGTAAAAGCAGATGCTTGATTCCAGCTGGAATCTCACCTCTGGCCGAGCTGTGAATCGGGTCCAGGGCTTGAACAAAGCCTGAAGTGGAGCAGCAGATTTGGGGATAAAGCCTGTCCTCTGCTTTCAGAGCTGCTGTTACTCATGAGGTGTGTCGGTGGGTGTCGTGTCGGGCTCCTCTGGCCCCCCCCGGATGGTTGGGAGATGCCAACCTGAAGGTGATCAAACCCTGGGTTGCCACAGTTTGGTTTCATCTGGAGTTTCTTGTCCTGGCTTGGGAAAGCCTCTGGAGGACTGGGTGGCTTTTGTGGCACTTGTGTGTACACCTTTGTACACCTGTGTGTCAGGGAAGCATCAGTGTGATCCCCATTCCTGATGTAATAAGACACTGAAGCTCTTTGCTCAGGCTTCTTTCAGTAGGTCTAGAGTAATTAATTTCTAAGTCTGAAACGTTTTCTTTCACCCCTCACCAGGAGGATTCTCTCTTAGAGGTTCTTCTGTTAGGAACTCAGATTTTCCCATGAAAACTTCGGAAAATAATAGAAGGTGGCTTATCCCAAGGCTGTGTTAATGTATCCCAGATGGAAAAGTCATGCAAAAATATGTTGGTGAGGAGCAGGGGAAGCGCTTTTCAAGGCTTTCAAAAAGCAAGACTTTCCTCTGCTGGTCTTTGCGCTCAAAGGAAAACAAGAGCCTCTTTCTCCCCTTCTTTCCTCCCCCCCTTTATTTTGACAATAATGTTTTCAACACCTTCTTATTCTGGCATTTGATAGAGGCTGGACAGCTGTAACAAATTGCTGGGAGAATGGTCTTCTCCAGTCATACTTTCCAGCAGTGAAAAAAAATGGGGAAGTTTTCCTCTCAGTCTGTGTTTCTGCCCCTTCCCCGGCCTCGGGCAGCGAGAGGAGGCTGTTTCCCCGCGGGGGGAGGATGGTCATTGCCCCCCTGTTGGGATGGGAACTGGGTGTGCAACGACTTTCCAAGGTGCTTTCTGCATGACACTGATTCCCTGGGATTATTTTCGCTGCAGAACGGAGCAGAGAAGTTGTCCCCGTGTGGGGAGCAAAGGCCACCCCCATGTCTTGCCCTCCCCTTTGGGGACACACTGGCTCCTTTCTGTCTGGAGGGTCGGGGACCCGGTTTCCCTTTGGTTCCATTCCTTGGTCATTGGATGGACCTCATACACACGTCCCCTGCTGTGTTGGTTCTCTGCAGGGATGGATGTCACGACGTGGCTTTTGGTCTGAGCAGCTTCACATGGAACCTCAAAAGTGTAAATCTGTTTGCCAGGAAGGGTAATGATAGGACAAGGGGAAACGGTTTTAAATTGGAAGAAAAAAGATTCAGATTAGATCTCAGGAAGAAATTTTTTACTGTGAGGGTGGTGAGACACTGGAACAGGTTGCCCAGGGAAGTTGTGGCTGCCCCATCCCTGGAGGGGTTCAAGGCCAGGCTGGATGGGGCCTTGAGCAACCTGCTCTAGTGGGAGGTGTCCCTGCCCAGGGCAGGGGGTTGGAACTAGATGATCTTTGAGGTCCCTTCCAACCCAAACCATTCTGTGATTCTATGTTGGAGATTTCCTTGTCAAAACTACTTCTGGTTTTCTGCCATTTTTACGTGTAGAATAAGAATGAACATTTCCCAAGGTGTTTTATGTTTCCCAAGTCATGGTCCCTCCTCCTCCTGAATAAGTGATTTAAGCAGTAAGCTCATTAGGTCCAAGAAGGTGTATTTTTATAACAGGCAGCTCCAATATATTTCTTGATAAAAATTATGGTTTTGGGAAGATCTCTTGATCTTTGCCACCTATCAGTCCTGAGCTGCAGCAAGGAGCACCTCCAGATCATGAACCAAATCACCTCGTGATCATGAATCGCCACCAGATTTCATATTTTAAAAACATAGAGGCTTTAACCTGTGTCCCTGAAGGTTGATGTGCTATTTGTAAATTATCTGAGAATTAGCAAAGGACAGAAAGCAGTTAATCAAGGTGGGAAGTCGATCCTTGCACCGTTATGCATAATTGCTTCTCTCGGTGTGTTTCTGCTTAGCATAAAATGGTTTTGTACATTAAGCTCATTTTAGGTTTCTCTATTGCTAGAGACAGCATTAATTTGTCAAAGTTAAATCAGAGCGTGGCTCTTCAGACTCTGAATTGCTGCATTAAGAGCGTTGCTGGTCGCTGGGGTGGGTAGAGGGGGCATTTTGGGGTTTTAATCTGGATGTAAAGGCCAAATCTGAAGCGGGCAGGTTTTCTGTGATGACTTGTACTTTCGGAGTTATTCCTGGCCATTTGTGTGTCACCTCTTACATAATTTCAATTATGAGAGAACGAGCGTGTCCTCTCTCTCATCTGCACAGCACGGGGACTGTTTCAAGCTTCCGATGACTTTAATAAATGCGGGGTTAGAACAAACTCATTTTGAAATTTTAGATTCTCTGCAGTAAAGGGAGGTTCAGTCTGCTTGTGTTGGAAGGGTGACAAAAAACAGTACAAGGGGCCAGATCTTCACATTCGGATGCTCTTATTTGTTAAAGAAAAGAAATGGGGAGGAGGAGAGAGGAGGTGAGCAAAGAAGAGAGATAGGAGCAAGTCAGCCCTTTCTCCTGGAAGCCACTAAATCCTTTCCGTGTAACACAGAATGGCTGGTGAAAATTGCTGACCTGACTTTAACCTCTGAATAGCTCCCAGGGTTTTTTTGGCTCTCGCTGTGTAAAAGCAGCCAACTGTTAATGTTCAAAACCCGCTACTGAAAAGAAAACTGGGTGGAAGAATCACGTGCTGCTGCGGGAGAACTTTGCGCTTCGCGGCCCCGCAGAAGTGGACGGGAGAGTTTTGCTGCTTGAGTGCTGCAGAATAGAGGAAGATCTCCAGCAGTCGTAATGCAAGGCTCTGAAATAAACCTGAAAATGTTTCTTGCTGCTGTGGAAAGGTTACCCGAGTGCTGGGGGGGCTCCAGCAGCACTTTGTCATTTAGCAGCATCCCAAGTGTATGGAAAGAAGGGCTGGTTTCCGTGCTGGGTCTTCCTGCAGAAGGGCTGGGATTTCTTCTGATATGGAACGGGGTCCTGCTTTTCCTTATTGTGGAGTCCTGTGATCAACGCTGTATTCACGGAATCACAGAA